TTTAGGTATTCGACCTACCTGACCCGAAAGGCCGATGGCGACTCCCAAAATATTTTAAAACCATTTATTCACATCATTTTCCCGCCAAATAAATAATTTCGTGCCTGGGCGAAAATCGATTACGACAATATCCTAAATTATATTCCCTCCTTCTCTCCCATTTATAACATCAATATATGTTGTTGTTATGTATGGCTCATAAAAAGTCTCGTTGTGGGGTTACGAATTATGTGGGTTGGGGGTGTGGGGGCGCAGCCCCCGCGGTACGGTACAGGGTTGATTTTGTAATTATGTACCAGGGTTTTCTATTATAAATAGAGATGTAACCTAGACCTAAAAAGATCATTGAATAAAACTTCTAGCGCCGCCTAGGCACCGAGGACGTAAGCACATTGCCGAACCTCGTAAAATTCTCGTGTTCTTTCGTTTTCTTTACACGTTTTCGTCAACAATTGGTATCAGATGTCAGGAGCAAAATTTGAAGTCGCGAAATTCGATGGTCAGGGTAACTTCGGATTATGGCAAACGAGGGTGAAGGATCTATTGGCGCAGCAAGGGATCTTGAAGGCTTTGCGACCTACAAAGCCGGCGTCGATGGATGAGGAAGATTGGGAAGAATTGCAGCAGCGAGCGGCAGGAACCATACGATTATGCTTGGCGGACGAGGTCATGTATCACGTCATGCATCTATCGTCTCCAGACGAAATTTGGAGGAAGTTGGAAAGTCAGTTTATGTCCAAATCCTTAACGACAAAACTGTATCTGAAGCAGCGGTTGTATGGGCTGAAGATGCAGGACGATCACGATTTGGCGCAACACGTGAATGTCTTCAATCAAATCGTTTCTGATCTGGCTCGACTTGATGTGAAAATTGAGGATGAAGACAGAGCGATGATTCTGTTGTGTTCGTTGCCTTCCTCTTACGAACACATGGTGACTACTCTTACATATGGGAAAGAGACTATCAATGTTGAGGAGATTACTGCAGCCTTGTTGGCTCACAACCAGCGGAAGCAGAATGCAGGGGAAAGCTCTCAAGCCGATAGCTTATATGTCAAGGGTAATCGAGATCGTGGACGGAAGCCAGAGAAGGCAGGGTCCGGGAAGCGGAATTCCAGATCCAAATCCAGGGATAAGAAGACGATTCACTGTTACAAGTGCAAGGAGGCGGGACATATGAAGCGAGACTGTCCGAAGTTGAAAAAGCAGACCGATGAGAAGCGTGATGGCTCATCCAAGTCTGTGAACGTGGTCGAGGATGATACTTCTGATTGCAGTGAGGGTGATATGCTTTCTATTTCAACGACACAATTGACGGATGCTTGGATTCTTGATTCTGGATGTTCTTATCACATCACGCCAAATAGGGAATGGTTTTCGACATACAGGCCGGTTAATTCTGGTTCGGTTTATTTGGGTGATGATCGATGTTGCAATATTGTTGGTATTGGTGATGTCAGAATTAAGATGCACGATGGCTCCGTTCGGACGTTGAGTGGTGTTCGACATATCCCAGACTTGAAGAAGAATTTGATTTCCTTGGGCACTTTGCACAAGAATGGTTTTATCCCTAAGGCTGACGAGGATAGGGAAACCATTCGGATTGTTAAAGGAGCATTGACTGTGATGAAAGGCAAGATGACTGCAGGGAATATCTACAGATTGTTAGGGAGTACCGTTGCAGGTGGAGTTCACTCTATTGAGTCCTGTGATGATACGACAAAATTGTGGCATATGCGCCTTGCTCATCTTAGTGAACGTGGTATGGCAGAATTACACAAGAGAAACTTGTTGCATGGTGTCAAAAGCTGTAAGCTCTACTTTTGCAAGTATTGTGTTCTTGGTAAACAGACTAAAGTCCATTTCAAGACTGCGAAGCACACAACTCAAGGGATTCTTGATTATGTGCATTCTGATGTATGGGGGCCTTCCACGACATCGTCTTTGGGTGGATCTAGGTACTATGTTACTTTTATTGATGATTTTTCACGGAAAGTTTGGGTGTATTTTTTGAAACAGAAATCTGAAGTTTTTGAGAAGTTCAAGCTGTGGAAAGCTGAGGTAGAAAACCAAACAGGACGAAAAATCAAGTGTTTGCGGTCTGACAATGGTACGGAGTACACAGATTCACAGTTCCTACAATTCTGTAAGGAGCATGGGATTCAGAGGCATTTTACAGTGCGCAAGACACCACAACAGAATGGTGTTGCGAAACGAATGAACAGGTCGTTGAATGAAAGAGCCAGATGTTTGCGGTTGAATGCGGGGCTTCCCAAACACTTCTGGGCTGAGGCTGTTAACATGGCGTGTTACCTTATCAACAGATCGCCAAGAGCATCGCTGGCTGGGAAAGTTGCAGAAGAGGTATGGACTGGTCATGATGTTAGTTTTGATAACTTACGGATTTTTGGTTGTCCTGCTTATGTGCATGTACCTGCTGATGAGAGATCCAAACTTGATGCAAAATCGAAGGAGTGTATTTTTCTGGGTTACAAGAAAGGTGTCAAAGGATTCAAGTTCTGGGATCCAGTTGCGAAGAAAGTTGTGATTAGTAGAGATGTCGTTTTTGATGAACAGTCTATGTTGCAGCAGAAGCAAGACACGACAGTGGTAGATTTCGAGCAGTTTCCAGTTGAGAAACCAGAAACTTCTCAACCGACTTCTGGTGGTTCCACTACGGATGATTTGCAGGATTATAGTCTCGCCAGAGACAGGGTGAGACGGACGAATATAAAGCCTCCGAACAGATTGGGTTTTGAAGACTTGGTATCTTTTGCACTTACTGTTAGCAGTGATGATCCAGTTACTTTTCATGATGCCGTTACTAGTCAGGAAAACGACAAGTGGATGGCAGCCATGGTTGAGGAGATGGAGTCTTTGAATCACAATCGCACATGGGAGTTAGTTCCCCTTCCTGAGGGTAAGAAGCCGATTGGTTGCAAATGGGTGTATAAGAAGAAACCAGCAGTAACAGAAAAAGAGGGGGAGAAGTTCAAGGCTCGTTTGGTAGCGAAGGGTTTTCACAGCAGAAAGGAGTTGATTATGATGAAATCTTTTCTCCTGTGGTCAGGCACACTTCAATCCGAGCAGTACTTGCATTGGTGGCTAGTTGGGATTTGCATTTAGAGCAGATGGATGTTAAAACTGCTTTTTTGCATGGTGATTTAGAGGAGCAGATCTACATGCGGCAACCTGAAGGTTTCACTCAACCTGGAAACGAACATTTAGTTTGCAGATTGAAGAAATCTTTGTACGGGTTAAAACAGTCTCCGAGACAGTGGTATAAACGTTTGACTCCTATATGATCAAGATTGGCTACAACCGATGTGAGTATGATTGTTGTGTCTATGTTAAGAGCCTTGATGATGGTTCTTTTATTTTTCTATTACTGTATGTTGATGATATGTTGATTGCTGCGAAGAACATGGATGATGTTATCGGTTTGAAAACTTTATTGAGTCAGGAATTTGATATGAAAGATTTAGGTGCTGCAAAGAAAATTCTTGGAATGGAAATTTGCAGGGACAGAGACTCAAGGAAACTGCGGCTATCTCAACGGGGTTATGTTGAGAAAATGCTAGAAAGGTTTGCGATGAGCAGCGCAAAACCAGTTAGCACTCCATTGGCGAATCACTTTAAGCTCTCATCAGAACAGTGCCCCAAGACAGATAAGGAAGCTGAAGATATGGCAAAGGTTCCGTATTCTAATGCTGTTGGCTGCTTGATGTATGCGATGGTATGTACTCGTCCTGATTTAGCTCATGCTGTTAGTCAAGTTTGTAAGTACATGTCTAAACCTGGTAAGCAACATTGGGAAGCAGTCAAGTGGATCTTTCGGTACTTAAAGGGTACTGTGGGACATGGAATTGTTTTTGGGAGTCAGCGGGATAACCCTTTGGTTGTAGGATATGTGGATTCAGATTATGCAGGTGACTTGGATAATAGAAGATCTACGACAGGGTATGTGTTTACTCTTGGTGGAGGGCCTATTTGCTGGAAGTCTACTGTTCAATCTGTCGTGGCACTATCTACAACTGAAGCTGAATACATGGCAGCGGCTGAAGCTGCAAAAGAAGCTTTATGGCTTACTGGTTTAGTGAAGGAGTTGGGTGTTCAACAAGGTGGAGTTCAGTTGCTTTGTGATAATCAAAGTGCTATTCACTTGGCTAAGAATCAGGTGTATCGTGCTAGAACTAAACATATTGATGTAAGGTTCCACAAGATCAGAGAGTTGGTTGCATCTGGAGAGGTTTTGTTTCAGAAGGTACATACTGATGAGAATGCCGCTGATATGTTCACCAAGCCAGTTACGACAGACAAGTTCAAGCATTGCTTGGACTTGTTGAATGTTTCGAGTTGTTAAAGAAGCAAGGTAACCCAACCCACATTGAAGTTTCCAAGGGGCAGGATATTCGCCAAGGTGGAGATTTGTTATGTATGGCTCATAAAAAGTCTCGTTGTGGGGTTACGAATTATGTGGGTTGGGGGTGTGGGGGCGCAGCCCCCGCGGTACGATACAGGGTTGATTTTGTAATTATGTACCAAGGTTTTCTATTATAAATAGAGATGTAACCTAGACCTAAAAAGATCATTGAATAAAACTTCTAGCGCCGCCTAGGCACCGAGGACGTAAGCACATTGCCGAACCTCGTAAAATTCTCGTGTTCTTTCGTTTTCTTTACCCGTTTTCGTCAACAGTTGTAAAATAGTTAAAATGATAATTTTATCTTAAAAAATTAAATGTTGTTTTATTGAAAAACAAAAAATGTAGAAAGAGAAATATGAATACAAAAAATTGTTGTTTTTTTTAAATAGATAATTTAAATGAGATAATTTTAAAACATAAAAGATACAACTTTAATGAGACATACGAGAGGAAGTACATTTTTTATTTCGTAAGAAGTCCATATCGCAATCTCAATTAATAGTTGAAAACAGCAGATTTATTTTAATCAAAGGGAAAACACCAGAAAAGGGAAATCAAACTACAACTGCAGCGGCTAGAACAAACGAGCAAAGTCCAGGTTCGAGGCTTCAGATCCACGTTGTTGGCTCTGTCGAGACGCAAAGTAAGACTCTGGCAGGTTGTTGAATACCTCATCGACCAAACTCGACGGCACCCCGAAGGACAGCTCCTTCGCCGCACTATCCATTTGCTTCACCACGTTGTCCTTTCTGGCTATGAAGATCTTTGTGTTGTTCTGGTGATAGAGTCCGAAGGCTATGAACCTCAAGTGCTGGTCTTCGGGTGTGAAATATGTGACCGGATGGCATGCCGGAGTTATTATTACGTCGCCGGCAGATAATAGGACTCTCATTTTCGCGTAGTGTCCAGCAATCTTTTCCTCCCTCCGTTCAATTTCCTCTTCTATTTCCCTTTGGGCCTTTTCATCTTCCTCTTCCTTTTCTCCTTGGTAGCTTTTCTCAGGAGCAATAGGGCAAACCATTTCCACGTACCCGCTTCCTTCTGTGACAATGATCACGAATGTAGACTTTGTATTGTAGTGCGGTACAAAGATTGATCCCTGCCAAAAAAAAGGGTTTCATTTAAGTTTTCGATTAGCATGACGACGTGAGTTGTATTGGAACTGGTTTTGAGTTTACTTTGTTTAGTTCGAGTCCTACGAGGCCGGCATCCAAGTCCCGGAGTAGCTCGAATTCACGAGGGCAAGCTTCGAAGAATTTTCCGTTTTGGTTGGAGTATTTGGGGTTTTGGGCAAATAAGTTGAAGGCTAATCCCTCTTCTTTCTCACTAGGCGTACTGGCTCCTTTGCTCAATGTCTTTATCTGCTCTTGGCTGGCTATACGGAACATTCCCTGCTGGCTTTGATTCGCTTGTAACAACCTATCTAGCAGCTCACTTCGTGTCTATTACAAAGAAACACGATTGAGTCAAATTATCAGACAAATTAACTGATATTAGTAGTGAAAAAAAACATACATTGAGAGCATCCTCAAGAACATCAAGGCTGAGGTGTCGGTAAAATGACTGAGGATATTGTCCGGCAGGGAAGAATTCCTCGAATTTCCCAGGGTTGTTAACAGGGCGGACGAGTACAGCAATGTTTAGCTTTTCCTTGTCGTCTTGGTTCACCAAATACACAGTGGTTCCTGTTGGAACTCTTACAACAACTCCAGGGACTAAACTATAGGATTCTCTGTTCTTATCAGTCAAGAGCGTGAGCGTTCCCTTCCCGTTTGTAACGACGTAAATTCTGTCGGCATCACAGTGGTGTGGGAGGACGAAAGTGTTGGGATTTGCTTCTAGTAAGGCAACTCGGTACTCGTTGTAAGCCTTAAGTATAAGATGCTTCTCATAAAACTTGTGGAGCACCCATAAACTGCCATTGTCTTCCTGGTATCGACCAAATGCAAATTTTCTTTGAGGGAAAAAGAAAGGGTTGAAGACTCCAATATCATCCTCCTGAGGGTCATCCTCCTTACTGCTTCTTCCGCCGGAAGGATAAGCAGCGGAGCAAAGCAAGGCAAAAGAATGCAGCAGAGATAAGAGCAAAACTACAAGAAAACACTTACTCGTCACCATGACTGTAATATTTTGAGGTGTATGCATGATGATAATAGGGCAAAGAGTGACAGTGTCTTTAAAGAAGGTGAAAGGTAGCCTTTGCATGCTAATGTTCATCAACGTGTTGAGGACATTGACATGCATGGAGACGAGTGTGCAAATTCATTAATTCCGACATTTTTAGCATACCACAAACTTGGTTGCAGGGAAAATCATTCATGCCATTATAATTAAGACACCGCCCTTAGTACCATCGTCATGTAAAATATTCAGAATTATATTATGATCAAACTATCTTAATAATTAATTAAAGAGATGATTGTTATCTTTTAGATATTTTAGATTCGAACATGACACCTGAATGAATATTTAAAAATTTATCATTAAATGATTAAATTTTTTCAAATATATATTATTTTATAATAACCTTAGATTAATAGAAAAAATTCTATCACAATGACTTTAAAACCCTGTAATCAAACGGTAAAGTTAATTTAATCATGCCGCAAAATTAATTTATTTTTCTCTGAAAAAACACTATTATCTTTACCCGGATGAAATGTGATAAATAATAATTATAAGTTTTTTATTTGATGAGAGATAATCGAGTAATGTTAGAGGTTTAAATTCTAACGTTTACGCGAATGGAATAAACTGGGTTGAAATGGTTACTCTTGTTTCTTTAATACTTGATCTAAATTAATCGATCAAAAAATTAAGAGAAAATAACCTCAGTGACCGAAAATGTCTTGTTTCGACTATCGCAACGCAAAATGGAAAATCGCAACGCGAATTTGAAAACTGAGTAGCAAAGTTGGAGTTCGCGTTGCGAATTTAAGATCGCGTTGCGATTTTGTTGGTCATTTTGGCAAATCCAAAAAAAGTTTATTAAAATCGTATATTATAAGACATTTTCGGTCACTGAGGTTATTTTCTCAAAAATTAAATGCCGGTGATTATACAAAAACAACAATAATAAATATATATTGTTTGTATAGTATCAAAAACCAGAGAAAAGTTAATGAAATTCTCTCCCCTATTAGGTATATTAGTCTTACAACTAATTTCAAATATAGTGTTTTGCTTCTACATTTTTCGATGTTCTACTACTTGAAGTCTAATAATATGTGATTGCAGTACATGTTTAGGGATGCATTCGCAATCGTATTTCTAAAAACGTTAAATTATCATATAATTTAAATATTTTTTTATTATTTCGTTTGATAATTTATTTTCATATCTTAAAATTTTATAAACTCGTTTCCTTTATTGCTTACTAGATCATTCAAGTCGAGTTATTCAAGTCAACTCGAATTATCAATTTGTTTTTGAGTTCGAATCGAGTTGAAATTTTGAAATTTCGAGTTACTCGAAAAATTTTAGTCCATGATTTCATTATTCTTTCAATTCTTCCTTTGTTTTAAGTTTATTTTTTATTAAATTTTAACCACATGCTCCTAAAACATCTTAGAATACATATGTACTTTCAATTCCTCTCTTTGATAATAATTTTTTATTTTTCAATATAGTCCCTCAATTTTTATAATTTCCTTATTTCTTCAATTCGTCCTTTATTTTAAGTATTTTTTTACCAAATTTGAACCACATGCTCATATACCATAGTGAAATACCTATGTAACTTCAATTTATACTTTTTTTACTAAAAATGTACTCTTTCTCTTTTTTATTTAGTCCCTTAACTTTGCATTTTACTCTATTCTGTCTTTTGACTACAATTATTTGCAAATTCTTTTTTCCTATCAATTCCTTGACTCTTTTATACTCATCAATATTTTAACCTCAAAATATTTTATTTTAGATATAATATTATGAATATATTTTATAATTTTAGTTGTATTAATATATTAAATAACATTATAATGTGAAAAGAATATAATATAAATATCTTATATGGTTAGAGAAAGTCAAAAAATTGAACAAATCCTTGTCATAATAAAAATTGAAACAAATTCTTGCCATAATACTATAAATAATTATAATAAAATTAGTATAGAAACTCGAATAACTTGACTCGCATTTCTTGAACTCGACTCAACTTGAGAAAATTTAATGTTAAGTTTGAGTTGAAAAATACGACTTGTCAACTCGAATAACTCGAATTTTTTTAGCTTGGCTTGATCGAATGCTCACCCCTAATAATAATTAGTTAAGAGATTGTTTGTATTAGTTAAAAGTTTGTTGGTGTTTGATGTTAATTTGGGTTATATAAACCTTATACCGTAAAGCATTAAAGATTGCCCAAGTATTGTAATCGCTTGTTATTAATAATAAACGCATCTCTCTATCCTATGTTTTGTAACTAAAATCACACCACAGCTGCTCGCCAGGTAGAGGACCTATTCTCCTCTACCTTCCGGCCATCCTCCGGCTGATATGCCTCTATTCTCACACATAAAATCTTATGTCCGTCATGATATAACTTTGAAACACATAAAATCTTATGTCCGTCATGATGTAACTTTGACTGCATGGTCGGACGACTTCTCTCACTTTTGCATATTCTCCACTTCTTTTTTCCCGCTCTTCTTTTTGAGTATATCCTCGTATTTTTGCGCCCTTCACTCACCCTTACTTCATCCTTTTCTCTTCATCTTTCTCTTCACCTAAAGAACTTTACCTAAAAAGATAGGGGCAAACCGTTCTATTTCCGTTGGTACTAAGAATTACTTATGTAGACCTAGTATTGTCGTATGGTACAAAGACTGATTGTTGAAAAGATTCTTAAGTTTGATGATTTTTTACTTAAAAATGTGTACATTTAAATTTCTTTGAAAACTTAATTTTAAAATAAAATAGATTTGCCACAATCACGGGATTAGGTATGATACAACTCTGATAAAATCATCTTTTAAAAGAAACATTTTTGAAAAATAAGAAGAATTTGAAAGACGATTGTGTGTAATGAATGATAAAAACCTATACAACACTCAAATTCGGTACTTAGTTAATTACATATTATCTTAATAGTGGATTTTACGAATTCAAGCTTGCATTTAGTGTACGATCCTTTATGAAAGCAAATTTATTTAAAAGAGCAACATATTTCATTTGATTTATCTTGTTTTTCTTTTTTAAAAAGAATGTCATTCTACTATGAAAAAATATTACATTTCAAATATCTAGGAGACTATCTCGTTAATCCACCAATAAAATAAAACTACCTTCATATTTTTCATAAAATCAAATATACAACGCTAACAAAATCATGAATGAAACAGATATAACATATGCATGAAGGGAAATAATAATGCCAATAAAGCATGATGTTAGTTAATAATCAAATATATTAAATTTAAAGCTTTAAAAAATTAATATAAATTTCTATTCAAAAATATGAAATTCTTTGAATTATTTGAAAAAATAAACTAAATAACAAAAGTTAATATAAGTTTATATTCAAAAATTAATAGTAAAAGTCAGTATTAGCTTGAAGAAAAAATTATTCCTAGAGTGGGAAACTTTTTGTCTATTTAGGATTATTTGCATTAACAACCTGCCCTAATATAACTCATAACCATCCATTTGAATGGATGTTTTAAGTAAATTATATTTTGGTACCTCAACTTTATTTAAGGTGTAATTTTAGTAAACGATCCAACTCACTTCAAGGACATATCTTGGTGGATAGGATTTCTATAATCTTACAAGAAAATTGGGAGATACTATTTCGCGATGGGTATTTCTGTTGACGCAAGGTATTCATTAACTACTATGGTTACCTGCCTATAAGGTGATGCCTGTGAGGCGACGTGGATGGCTATTGTAGAAGCTTTTCATGCTTTTCTATGATACCCTCACCTAGACTTCGTCATCTAAGGTACTACTTCTTGTGATTATGAGAATGCTCTTTCATATACTCTGTTGGACCTCTCATACGACAGCAATTGTCGCTTTTTGGAAGACGTTCTTTGAATCAGCACAGGCTCTCCGTTCATATGCTCAGACCTTTAGGTTGACAGAACTGTGTTGGGTCAGTTGGGAAAGTCTATGGAGCGTGTTTCGTAAAAGCAAGGCCTATAGTGGTGTTGCTTACAGGTTTTTTTTTGCCCAATAGGGCAACCTAGAAAAAAATAGCAAAATAGGGTTGTCATACATTTATTTTGAGTTTTACGACATTTTCTATAGTTCATGTGGAACAAGTCACCTCGAAGTGATGAGTTCTATTAAAATAATAATATTTTTTCAGCTATTTACTTTAAATTGAATTTAAAAAAATGTTGGAACTCATCACCACGAGTTCTTTTAAAATAATATTATTTTTTTCGTGGTTGGTTTTTTTAATATTATATTTAAAAAAGAAAGTCGTAATGTTGAGGTGACGATATTTGAGTGGTCATATTCAGTTGTTATTTTTATCTTCTTAATGTGAGGAGAACGGTCATATTGATATATCACTGAAAAGTTAAACATATTATAATAGATTTTGTTTAAAAGAACAACAAACTATAAACATTAAATTAAATCATTAAACATTAAACATTATATTATGGAGACAAAATCAACAAGCCATGAACATTACATTAAAAAGAAAAGAAAAACAACAAACTTAATACATTACGTTAAGGATGTAAATACAACTAACATTACACACGCCTTAAACAGTAAATAAAATCATAAATATAGCAGTATTCATTATGATCTTTTAATCTTCGTAATCAGTAGACTCGTCAGAATAAATATTAAGTTCTTCAATTCTCCATGCTTTTTCTTATTGTCGTTCACATACATATTGGAACCATGCTTCTGGGTCTTCATCATCTATCTTTTTTTTTTGTCATTTTCTGAGTTGGTGGAATATTCGACCTGGAAGCATCATCCTCAACCATACGAGCAAAGTAGAGATCATTGAGTTCTACAATCAAATCGACATTAGTTATAGAATGATAGTAGTATGTTTCAATCATACCAGCAAGGTTGACATCATCGCTTAGATGAAAGCTCATGCGTGATAGTAGCAATTTATAATATAACGAAGATATTCTTCTACTTCTTTCGAGTTGAACCCTTTTTTCTATATTAAACTTCAACTCGTCTAGTTGAGTGTTTTTTTCTAAAACACATGGTTAAGGATTTGCAATCATAAAAAACAATTGCATGAATAGTTGCCATGTTCGCAAAAAACT